TTCTTTGTGACAGAAATATCGCTATTAATAACTCTGTTTTCATAATTTGTTTTCCGGTAGCAGAAAGGAAGATGAAGAACCCAGCTGAAGTCCAACATGATTGCTTGCAAAAAATCACACGGGAATATTCTGCAGATGGTGGCCTTGGTGACTCTTTCTTTACTAATACTAAACTGGTACCTTTTTGGGAATGGGATACAGTGGAATTACAACATTTATTCGGAGAATTTTAAAAATACAACAGAGTCACCTTCAATTTGCCCAATGTTGTCTCTACAATCCAATGTAAGAGCCACATATGGTTTATGTCAACCTCACAAACCGAGTGAAGCTTCCTGTATGTTTACTCGAGAACTTTACGCCATAAAACCTGAACTATTGGAATGTAAAGAGAAAGGTGCTGGGGATGTTTGCAAAATGAAAATCACCAGAACTAAGAAGGAAGGCAAGATTTCCTTTACCTGCAGTCAAACGGTATGTCGGGAAGGAAAAAGAGATTCTTTCAAAGTTCTAAGTGTGGATCCCGGAACCGGATTGGCGACCATTGTAAATGAATTTCACTCAGTGAAGACACTTGAAAGAGGACTACCGAACATTGTAAGAAGAAATACACAAAATAAATTGAACTTTGTTTTTATCGAATGTACAAACCACCAAGGTGAGGGAGTGTCACAATTCCTTGCCGTCGACCCCGATTTCACCATCGAGAAAACAGAAACTGTGAGAAATAAAAATCACATCAATGTGGTCGTCCTCCTCATAGATTCTGTTTCTAGAGCTCACTTTTACCGATCTTTACCTAGAACAATCGCAACATTTCAAAACTGGCGAGAAAACCCAGATTCGGTTCCCGCAAATGTCTTTGACTTTGAACTTTTTCAGGCCCTACACGGTCACACTGCTGAAAACATGCAAGCACTCTTCACTGGAAATGTCTTCCCGATTGAATTAAAAGGTACAACGCCGCCAGTCAATATGTCTGCGATGTTTGGGCATTATAAGAGAGCTGGGTACCATACAATGTATCAAGAAGATTTGTGTTGGAAAGGGATCTGGGGACTAATGGTTGATCATGGAGTAAGGCAATGGAGTGACCTTCAGGACAAGATGAAAAATACCTTCATAGATCACACGGGTAGGTTTGGATAAAGCATAAAACAATTTACGCAAATAAATGTCAGTCATATTGTATTCACTGACTCTCTTCGCGGTTTTCAAACCTTTTTTGGTGGGAGTGATTGAAGGAACCGACTCGCTAGGTGAGAGATTTAGTTTTTTCCTGACATGATATTTTGCTGTGGTTTTGTTTAAGGCCTGACGCATTCCAGTTGTAAAATCCTTTCATCATTGGGAGTAACAACTCCCTTTAATGGGCCTTATGGGGACCAAATCTGCTATAATGGAAAGTTTCAACACTCTTACTTTCTTCGTTACATAACTGACACACTTCACGCTATCGGCAAGTCACGTGACGCTCGCCCACTTTTCTCTCACACTTCACTCAACGTTGCCCACGATCACAGAAGTATCCGCACGCAAACCCTGGATATCAGTTTGGAGAATTACGTGAGGGCCATGGCGAAGGAGCAGAACACTTTAACAGTCATTCTGGCGGATCATGGAAACACATATACGAGATACAGTTCAGAATTGTTGGAGGGGCGCTTTGAGATGTTCCATCCGTCCCTATTCATCATTGTTCCTGACAGAGTAGCGGCGCTCTTAGGGACGAAAGCAATGTCCGCTCTAGGAGAGAACCAACGGAGGCTTGTCACCATGATAGAGTTACACCATTCTCTAATGGTGTTGGTCAACCCCCTATCCGGAAATGTTAAGCTAAAGGGGTTGTTTTCACCCATCGCTATGAACCGTACGTGTGATGCTTTGGAACTAAGGCTGCCAAACTTGTGCGTGTGTGAGGGTTGGGATGTACCAGCAAATAATGACACTTCACGTATTCCTATCGCTGAGTTCGCGATGGGTCAGTTGAACAATCTCTTGGAAAATCAAATACAGAACATTTATGAACGATCCTGTCAAAGATTGCAACCGTTATGGTTTGAAAATATCCGAGAAAGAAACTCGAAAAAAGACGGATCTCTGATCACTTCGATGGATATTCGAGTTAAAGCAGGAGATGTTGTTCCTCAAAGGGAAGACATATTTCATGTGGAAGTAATGACAAGGGAAATGTTAGGAGAAAATTCTTTACAAATGACCTTGGTCTCTTTTGACCGTCTGACATTATTTGGAAAATACGCAGAGTGCGCCGATAATGATGTTGACCTTAAATTATGTGTGTGCTCACAGAAAGCAATACAGAAGAAGTTAATGGTGGCGTTTTCGTCAGAACACTGGGTGCATTTTGGACAACGCCCAGTTGTTAGAAAACTTAATAATACAAATTGTTTATGGCTGATTACATGGCCTTTTGCTAAAAACACATCGAACACATATGAAGTAGCCAACTTGTGTCATAGTCAGACTTATCGAGTTAAGA